GAGGAGGGCACTGTCGAGGTAAGAGCTAGTGTGTTTGCTCAGTTGCCGGAGTGCGTAACTTGACCACTGATAGCTAACCCTCTCTTTTTCTGTTTATTTTAGGTGTTTGTGAACGACACCCCGGTGACGACCATCTCCGAGGGTGGCAGCTTCGGCGAGCTGGCGCTCATCTACGGCACACCGCGCGCCGCCTCCATCCAGGCGAAGACGGACGTGAAGCTGTGGGCCATTGACCGGGACACCTACCGCCGCATACTGATGGGCCAGTTCATCAAGAAGCGCAAGATGTACGAGGAGTTCCTCTCCAAGGTCAAGATTCTCGGTCAGTTTTTGCTCCATCTTTAATTTCCTCTATTTTAACCCTCCCCTCTTTTTCTGCAGAGAGCCTCGACTACTACGAGCGCCTAACGGTCGCGGACGCACTCACTCCGGTGGAGTTCAACGACGGCGACATTATCACGAACCAGGGCGAAGCGGGCGACGAGTTCTACATCATCGAAGAGGGCACTGCGATTGTCCTGCAGCGTCGCTCCGAGGGCACGCCCCTGGAGGAGGTGGGCCGCCTGGGTCGGTCGGACTACTTCGGCGAGATCGCCCTTCTCTTCAACCGACCGCGGGCGGCGACGGTGAAGGCGCAGGGCCCGCTGAAGTGTCTGAAACTGGACCGGGACTGCTTTGAGCGCCTCCTCGGCCCCTGTGCGGACATTCTCAAGCGAAACATGGAGAACTACAACTCGCTCATCTCACTTTCAGTTTAAAGATTGGGGTGGGAAAATGGCCTTTTTCTGTGTCGGATAATTTTGAAGATCGGTGTGGTCGTTTTTGATGAGTGGTGGGAGGAAGGGGAACGTGTTGTGAATGTGTTGTGCCCCTCCCTCCCTTCCTCTCTCTTTTATTTTATCCTCCTCTTCTTCTTTTAATTTATTGCCATCAACCCCTCTCTTCCTTCTTCCTCCACACACACCAACTCTCTACCTTCTGCTCCTATCCTCGGCCTCGTACAAACAAACAACCCAACAAACACTGCTGTACAAACCTCTTTTTTCTCTTTCTCTTTACTTTCTCACTACCACCATCAGTGATGATTGGATTTCGCCGCCTCCGTTCTTGTTGTTGTTGACAAACACCGCCGCCCCAACTTTGGTTTGGTGGTGGTCACCTTGGTCTACTACCTGTCAACTCTCTCTCTCTGTACCATACTATTAATTACTACTATTACTTTTCTTTTTCTTCTTCTTTTTCTCTCTAATTCTGCTACTATTACCCACTATTCTCTCTCTCGCTCTCTATACCCGATGATTGTGAATGTGCTCGATTTGATTTGAGTATCGCTGACGGTTGCGACGATATATGATGATTGCTCCTTCACCTCCCTCTTTCCCATTGCCCTTTTTCCCTTTCCTTTCCCCCTGCCATCTAGGCACACACACACCTTCTCTCGTTAGCCTTGATCATTTGCGCGCTGTTCCCACTTTAACCTTCTCTCTGTACACCAAACACATGCAAACCACAGCACCACCATTGCCCCGTCTCTTTTCTTTTCTTTCTTTCGCTTTCTTTCCTTCCTTCCCTTCTCATTGGCATTGCATACACACATACAAACACAACCACCAAACGTACATAAATGCTAAACACACACACTCACTTACTACACACATATTACACACCAGCACAACCAAACCAGCAGCAGCAGCAGCAACCAAGCAACCAGCTAAGCACCAACTAAGCACACACCTGGCCGGCCACCACCCGATCCGACACTTCTCACTACTACCACGATTACTACCACCACCACCACGATTTCACCGCTACCATCACCACCACCTGATGTAGAAGCTGATGATGACCATTACCATCACCAGACCACACCTGTTGGAAAGTGAGAGAGAGAATGCATAGGATTGGATAGGATAGGGTTGCAGCACCGGAGTGGCACCAGAACTGTTTTCTCAAATATGATCGATTACTTCCCCTCCCCACTTTCACCCTCCTTCACCCTCTTCTTGTCAATAACTATTCTTGCTCTTATTATGATTATGATTACGCAACTTTGGTTCGATAATTTAACTGTTATATGATATTATATTATAATTATTCTCTTATTATCTTTCAATTCGAATTCGCGATTCTTGATTCAGGCTAGGCACTCGCCGCCACCACCACACGAACCCTCACACACACAAACACTGCTCTCTTTCTTTTATTTGTCCCGCGCTTCTCTCTCATTGTTTTCGAACTATGTTCTCTCTCTCTATTATAAAGATACCATAAGATTCATTCTGTACTGCCGCGCTTTCGCTTTGATGATGATTCAGACAAAATGTCTCCTCTTTCTTCGCCGACGACCGGCCGGCCAACCAGACCAAACAAAATCGATTGCTCCTCGATTGTGCTCGATTGAACACTCGCACTTTCATTTACNAGGATTGGATAGGATAGGGTTGCAGCACCGGAGTGGCACCAGAACTGTTTTCTCAAATATGATCGATTACTTCCCCTCCCCACTTTCACCCTCCTTCACCCTCTTCTTGTCAATAACTATTCTTGCTCTTATTATGATTATGATTACGCAACTTTGGTTCGATAATTTAACTGTTATATGATATTATATTATAATTATTCTCTTATTATCTTTCAATTCGAATTCGCGATTCTTGATTCAGGCTAGGCACTCGCCACCACCACCACACGAACCCTCACACACACAAACACTGCTCTCTTTCTTTTATTTGTCCCGCGCTTCTCTCTCATTGTTTTCGAACTCTGTTCTCTCTCTATTATAAAGATACCATAAGATTCATTCTGTACTGCCGCGCTTTCGCTTTGATGATTCAGACAAGATGTCTTCTTTACTTCGTTGACGACCGACCGGCCAACCAGACCAAACAAAATCGATTGCGCCTCGATTGTGCTCGATTGAACACTTACACACTTTCATTTACACACACACTGATGTGTTTGCCGGACGTCTCTTGGCCTTGACTGCTCTCAAGTGCTGCTGCTGCTGTTGTGTTGTAGTTACAGCACGACCGGCAGTAGTAGCAGAAGCAACAGCAGTACTTGACATCCAAACAGCACACACACACACACACCAAAAAACAGCAGCTGTTGACGGATGACAACGACGACGAGAGAGAACATGAGAGCAAGAGAGGGAAAGGACATCTCATCTTCAACGGTCCTCTCTTTCTCTCTCGGCAGCGGCGAGTGAGGCAACGGGAGGGAAAGTGAAAGAGTAAATGGCAGCCAAAATCGGTTGGTCTCTCTGTAGCCGGAGATGTTGTTAGCAGCAGCAGAGCAGCAGCAGCAGAGTTCCGAATTCCAAACAAATTGCGCCAGTGTAGTGCAAACAGCTTCTTCAGCGTCTCTTGCAGGCCTCCGACTCTGACATCGACATCGACACTGGCCGTTTGGACGGCGGAGACTTCGTCGTCGTCGTCGAGGACAGGAGCGCAAGAAGAGTGTGGGCAAACAAGCACGCTCCCGCCGTGGCCAGTGGCTCAAACTTTTCGTCTTCAGCTTCGGCTTCGGCTTCGACTTCAGCTTCGGTGGCTTCTACACAACCACAGTTCTAAAAGCTACTGCGCAAGCTCCAGCTGGCGGGGTTGGTTGCCTGCCTGGTTGGTTGGTAGGGTGGCGGCGCCACCGCCGGTGACGCTCGCTTTTTTTTCACCACGGTGGCCGTTTACTAAACGTCAGTCAGTCTGCACAGGCAGAGCTAGTGCACACGCTCTCTCCGCTCTCTCACATTCTCGCCGCCGCTGCTCCTTTGTCTGGCTGCAGTGCAGCCTGTGCAGCTTGTGCCTTCCTCTCTGGCGTTGCTTTATCTCCCTCGCTCTCCTCGCTGTGTGTTTCTGGCTGGCCACTTGTAGACTCACCATCACCACCACCGCCGCCACCACCACTCCCGAGTTCTATTTGCCGCTGTGTTCAGTGTTACACTCTCAGTGGTACTCTACTAGTACTCGCTGCCGCTCTTTTTGCTTTATTACTCATTTGAGAGTTGTGTCTGACGGTGTGTGAGTGACTGTGTTTGACGGCCGCCGCCGAAGTTCTTATTCTCCGGTTCTCTGATTCTCACATCACCCTCGTCGATTCATCTCGTCTGTGTTCTGTGTTCCATCTTTTGTTTTTCTTCCCGTCATCATCACCACCTTCTCATCTTCTGCAAAAGACAGTGCGTCATCAGCAACAGCGACAACAGAGACAACAACATCAGCAAGACGAGACACCAAGCAGGCTCAACTGCCAGCAAGTCGTCACACACCGCAAGTGTTGTTGTCGTTCCTGAACTCCGATGACCATCATGGAGTCGGACTTCATGTATGCCCTCTCCGTCGACCGGACGGTGGTCGCCGACCCCACCAAGACGGCGGAGTGGTCGGCGAAGCGGCTGGTGTGGGTGCCACACGAGTCCCTTGGCTTCGTCGCCGCCAGCATCAAGGTGGAGCGCCCCGATGAGTACGAGGTGGAGATCGTCGAGACGAACAAGAAGGCGGTGGTGCCGAAGGACGACGTGCAGAAGATGAACCCGCCGCGCTTCAACAAGGTCGAGGACATGGCCGAGCTCACCTGCCTCAACGAGGCCTCGGTGCTGCACAACCTCAAGGACCGCTACTATTCCAGCCTCATCTACGTAAGTTGAGACATTGTGTTGTTACCTACTACTTTCTATCT